TGGTACTGTCAAGATACATGTTTATATACATGGCTATTGTTCACGTTCATGATTTGTGCATGTGCATGTACATAGATTCGGTGTTCTTGTTCACGTTCATATGTGCATTTTTTGGTGCTGTGTGTGGATGTTTTTGCCGACTTATTCACATCCATATACGTCCCCCAAATTAACATATTCTCACATCCATATACATCGGCCAACAATGAACCAACGTGAACAAGCTATTAACGTAAATGAAACAACGTAAACCTTATAAAACACTTATCTTGTGGTGTGCACACATATTAACAAACCTGATTGCTTAATTACCGATTGTGCATTCTTTGAATGAGTGATTAATTACAAATTGTGCATGTAATTGGGGGTTAAATATCATATGTTCATGTGTTCACACAAGCCATTAAAATAGGCATCATTCCAAAAATTTGAAGGGTATCTTGAAGCGTAAGTTGACTAATACGCTTGGATTGCTGGTGCAGATGAAGGCAATGAAACATCTAGGTTTGGATGTAGGAAAAGGCACTGTCACAACTGAAGGATCAGTCACACAAACAGAATTTGTTATTACTCGATTGTGAGTATGCTTCATAAGTACCTGTGGATTTCTTATCTCTATGTTAATTTAGTTTCATCCAAGTTTTCAAGCATTCAAACAACCTGTAAATATGGCTGGATGATACTTCAAGTTTCCATTTATACCCGAAAATGACTTGGAAACTACAAACTGACTTTTCCAAATATGATCACTATATGTAAAAAAATTTGAAAAATACACCCTATAAACTTAAAATAAGTATTGAACAAACTTGAGCATATTTAGGAATTACAAACCTTTGCCTTTACTCGATCCTTGTTCATTACTTGATAGAGCATTTGTTCGTTCTAACTCAGCCTCTGCATCGACATCAACTGGGTTGTCGATGGTGTTCTTGAAGTTCGAGAAGTAAGTTTTCATCATTATTCTTTCGCTTTTCTTCCTCACTTAAGCGTAAAAATCTGATGTCAATGAAACATAATACTAATAAAACGACGATAAAACC